AGCCCTATGTGCCTTTTGTTATTTTAAGATGCCTTTTGCTTTCCCAGAAAACCATGAGATTGGGAGTCTTGCCCTATCAGCACTTGGCTGGTGTCACCAAGGGACTTCTGTAAATTATATAAATGAGTTACAGTACTTTCTCATTTCATTTTTGTTTGTATAAAGCTTGTTTCACTCATTTGATATCTTAAAATTTGAGGTACAATCTAGGTTTAATTAATTGCTCCACACAAATAAAGATATTAACGCAAATGTATATCATCATATCTCTGGAAGTATTCCAAATGTTTCCGCCTTTTATTTGAATGGTACTTAGCTCCTCATACAGACCTGCCAACCCCTAATAAGGAAAACCTGTAGACTCATGAAAAAAAATCGGGAGATTCTACAAAAAGTAGTGAGATTCTTTTTTTTCCCGATCAAAATTAAACTACCCCTTTTCCATTAGTGGAATCAACTGTTTATTTTAATATAACCTTGCTTTAGTGTGGTCCCTTATGTAACAAATTAGATGCCGCTTTTTCTTTGATGACTTGAAGAGGCCAGAAAATAGGTTATCACTGTGACGAAACATACAGTAGAGTCATTTCTTTGGGCTAAGACAACTTCATGGCTAAAATAGTCAAAGCTTATCCAGGCACAAGAATTTCCCCACAAAATTTATGTTGTTATTCAACAAGGTAATATTTCAATTTAGAATATTTCCCAGAAAACCATGAGATTGGGAGTCTTGTCATGAGACCGTGAGAAAAGTTAAAAAATCGTGAGACTCACGGCAGAATTGTGAGAGTTAGCAGGTCTGCCTCATATGACATTTTCTATCGAAACCTGTATGTAGTAGGAAGAAACTTTGTATTAAGTGGGCACTACAGCATTCTCTGCGGTGTCCGCTTACATTATACAAGTTTCACTGTACATGTTTGACTCCATTCGCACTAACTATTGATATGGAACGACATGAAATTGCTTCATGCATAACAGATGTACATGTTTGGAGTTGTATGTAAATCTTATTAATTTTTTTTGCTATTTATGAAAACTTAATGTAAGCTTATAGGTATTACAGAGAAATATCCTTTGCTTCAACAATATGGTACAACCTTCAAGTGTTAAAAATATATATATTCCTGGTGTAATTATTATAGATACATAGTGTTGAGGGAAGTCTTTGGTTTACTTTTTCTTAAAACCGAAAAATAATTGACTTACATTGTGCCGGGGTAACCGAGTTGAGGTCATCTCTTTATATCAATATTATGTATCGGTCAAGTCGAAGCTTCAACATGCCCCCCCCGGGCATACCCCGGGCATTTGACACCTTTGCCGTCCCGGGGAGGAGGGAATTTGATTATCAGAGTTTTCCAGGGGGTGGGGAATTTGAACTGCACCCTCGATCTCATGTAAAATCTTTGGCGTGTCGACCTATCATGGGGAACGCGGTGTTAGAGGATTTTCGTGGAAAAGATTGTGCCTTTGTGGCCAATTGTTTACGAGGAAAGGGCTTAAACAAGCTTTGTGCCGTATTTGAAGTATTTAAATTTAAAATTTTTAATATTGGATTCAGGCTTTGAATGTATGAATGTATTTTATTGTTGAGTTTACAATGAAATACAACACTATACCGGCTATTCAATACAACAACATAAAATAAAATAAAAAGCTCAGGTCAACTACTTTTACCTACTGTAAGTATGTTAATTCATAAGATGAGCGATGATGCATGTCAGTGAAATGGTCATGATGTAGTAATCTCAATAGGTGGGATCTTTTTTTATACAACGCTTTGTATGTTGCATGACGAAGAAAAGCTGAGCATTCAGTGACCTTGTGGCAGCGATTTCCGCCGCTTTGCGCGAGACGTTTGTTCGTAGTAAATACGCTAACCGTGTTTCTCAGTTTTTGTTATATTTATAAAGATTTTGTTCGACAACTGAAGGCATTTCCACCGTCCTTCTGTCATTAATTTTTTGTGCCTGTAAAATGTCCCCGGGGTGGGGGCATTTGATCACCTGAATGGACCCTAGTGTGCGGCATTTGAACGGCATCTTGGCCCGGGTAGGGGGGAATTTGAACAAAAAATTTCAAAAAAGTCAAATGCCCGGGGGTTGCCTGGGGGCATGTTGAAGCTTCGATTTGACCGATACATTAAGCGCACTCGAATGGACTGATCATTTTTACTGCTAATTTCTCCCATTAAACATCAAGGACAATGTTTTCCACAATTGCTGATCTACCCTTCTGCCAAGTTTCGAATTTCCACACCAAACCGATTTTCTAAGACATGCGATGTTAATACGCGATCATGCAAATTTCTGCGACAAATATTCCACTTGAAAAAATTGGCTTAAACTGTTTAGACTGTTTATGAGGTAATTATCATCAGAATATAATACAATTAACTCTCCTTCTCGGAAAGAGCTGTTGCAACTATACTTTCCCTCTATCAGAAACTACATTAAAATTTACTTATCCCGAAAAGACAGCTTGAATAGGTGATACTATTGGCATTATTGGAGATAACAGCGAAGTAATGAATACCATTGCATCAGCTTACAGGCTACGCTGGCACACTCGAATGGACTGATCATTTTTTCTGCAAGTTTATCTCAATTAACTTCAGAGACAATGTTTTCCAATAGAAGTAACCCACCCTTATGCCAAGTTTCGATGTTCAACACCTCACCGATTTCGAGAAAATGCGATATTACTGTGCGAACATGCAAACTTTTGCGGCACATTATTCCACTCGAGGAAATTGACCGAAACTGTTTACAGCTCTCATACGCGTTATTTTTCGGATTAATACACATTTCACTCACCTTTTCGGAAAGAGATGTTGAACTGCACTATCCTACCGTGACAAAAAAACCATTTTGGAGCGTCAATATCCAGGAAAACCAACTTTAAAAGTAGCATTTGAAATGACAACGGCGCCATTTTCGAAAACTCCTCGAAGTTGCGCGCTTCTCTCTTCGTGACGTCACGATGGCCAAGATCGTACGGACAAACAAACTACCAAGTTCACCCCCCACCCCGACCCTCCTCCGGAGAACACCGCTGCAAAACGCAATGCGCATGAGCACAAAATTTAATATCCGGTCAGCTTTTTATTTCCGGTCTACTATATAAACCAATAGCGTAAGCATAACTTTGCCGTCGCGCCAAGTTTAAAAGCAAAAAGGGCGAAACAGACAAAAAAGGGGGCCAAAAAAATCACTTCATTCGAAAGCTTATATATTTTTCTATTCTCAAACTTTTGCACCACATGGTTATCTGTTTGCACCAACGGTGAAAATGATGTTTGAAGTTTGCAGGTCGCGAGCGCTCGACAAGACGAATTTGTTTTTACTGGCTTTCTTGCACGCTACT